TATTATATATAATACATAATATAAATATATTTATAAATGTATAAATGTATATTATTATAAATGTGTATAAATTATAAATGAATATTATATAAATGTAGAAATTAATATATTATAAATATTTATTAATACTATGCATAAATGTATTAATGTAATAAATATAAATTTATTAATTTATTAATATTATGTATAAATTTATAATTAATATTATGTATATTAATATAAATGTATAAATGTATTATATTATATATAATACATAATATAAGTGTATATTATAAATATACATAAATATATATATTATGTTTAAATGTACATTTTTATAAATGTTCAATATATATAATATATATTATGTATATATTAAATATATATAATATATAACATTTACATAAATGTATAATAACACATTTATAATATATAATATTTATATAAATATATAAAAAATATATTTTATATAAAATAAAATATTTATAATATGTATAAATAAATATATTTAAATTAATATAATATATATATCCTATACATAATTGAAATAAACATATTAAATATGTATTTGGAGTTGTTTTTGATATATTGTTTGGATATGGTGTTTTTGGAGTTGTTTTTGAAATACACATTTACTGTAGCATTTGGATTGTGAAAAATAGTTTTTCAAAATCAAACCCAAAAACAAGAATCCAAACAGACCCAATAATGTATACATTATTAACCTCTGATTCATGTCGTCCATGCTGAACGTGTGGGTGCAATTGTGTATGAATATGTATAGCTAAGCTTAGCCCAATTCAAGCTCAGTTGATATTCAAATCAGGCCGATAATTTAAAGCTCAACTCACATTGATATTGGCCTACAATTTAGGCCCAAGCCGTGGCTCACTTTAAAATGAGGCTCACCACAACATTCTTAGGTACAAGAGGTTGAGCTCAGCTTAGCTCGGCCCAGATGCTCCTATCTTTTTCTTTTTTTTTTTTCCTTTGGGGTGTGCTCGAAACCCTAGGTTGTCGTATATCAATCATAAGAACTAGAATTGTAAAAAAACGCAACGAATTTTTTATTTCACTTTCTGTACTACTCTCTATCCTTTTTTTTATTATATTATTATTTCTCTTTCATAAATATCATATTTTAGTTTTTTTTTATTTTTTTTAAATTTAGGGAGTGAGAGGGAGTGGAACATGAGTTCCGTTGTGGTGTAAAAGTCTTCCACACAAAAAAAGTAACTCAATGAGGGACATGAATAAACTCCTCTATAATCGTCAATTTGGAAGTAAATCAGCAAAGATCATATAGTTGTAACTCGACTAAGTTCCTGTTTCTCTTATAACTACACCAAACATTTGTGATGGTGGTTTGTTCAATAAAAGCTGTTCTTATTTTTTTCATCCATTTTTTTTTTCAGAAATATGTAGGTCAATAAATTGAGTAGAAAATGAAGAAATATTCCCAAATTAGAGTAGAGAGGGAGAAAAAGGAGTAATAAGGTCTCAAATGAAATAAATGCGTCAAAAATTGGGTATTGAAAAAACAGCAAAGCAAAGTCAAGTCTAGAAGTTATCCCGCGAACTACATAATACAAACTACCTCTCAAAAGCCATAGATATCTCATGAAACATAACATTAACAGCAATATCTGTGATATAGTTCTTACCTCGTATTCTTATTGACAAAATAAATAAATAAATAAAATTCTTGCCTGGTATTGCTTACTCAAAGCAAAAAAAAAAAAAAAAACCTTTACAAGCAATAGTTCCTTTATTTATTTATTTTTTGGTTGGGTTTTTGGCAAGTTTTGTACTCTCCACTTTCTCAGTGCAGTATCTATTTCAGTGCATCATAAATATAGGTTAGAGAACTTGCTATGAATGAACTTAGGAAAACCTTAATACGTCACCGACTTATAAATATTTTTCTTTCCCTAGTAAACATCTTTATACTGTGAATCATGTCCTTATTAAATTGCAAAAATTATGTGACATGCATAATTCTTTATGTGGTATGTGGCATAATTGTTTATGTCCTTACTAAATTGTAGAAATGTGGCATGCATAATTGTATGATGAAAAATAAGTTACAGAACTATGTATCAATTCTTGCTTTTCTAGAAAATCATCAAATTTTCAATTCTTGATATTCTAGAAATACATTAAAATTTCTGCCGGCAGAATACAAAAGCTAGGGAGTTACGTAAAACTACACGATATTCTGAAGTGGTATGATCCTATATAATTCGAGATGAAAAGGAAGTCAAATTTATTTAGTTACATCAGCTAAACAACCTAAAGGATAAACTTGTGATAAAAAAAATGAAGAACCTATTCAAGTAATACTACTGTTTAAGTGAAATTGAATAGGCTGCTTGTCCCGACAAAGAAAGATGCCTGGGTGACAATGTAATAGACAACTTCTAAAATGGTCGGCTAAACATATCTTGTCCCAATTCATTCATTCTTTGTCTAGGAACTTGTAAGCTGGCCTGAGGTTCAGGGGAGCATTTCTGACATAAGGATCACCAGATAGATAACTAAGCCCCATAGCCTTTCAAGTATAAACCACCCATCATCCTTTTGGAGGACTTCAATCTTGAAATTAATTTGGCAAAACTTGTCCCAAATCCCAACCTGCAAGAAAAGCAGGCCAGCTACAATCCCCCACCATATTAGTGACCATATTAATATTCTTAATCCCATGCTTTATTCCTCCTTTGCTGGTTAAACCACTTGTTCCTCAATCAGTGGTTTTGATGATCAATTTCTAATTAAACAAATATCGAGAGATTAGAACCTCATTAGTTTTGGTTTATTCGTCTTAGTTCATTGGACTAATAAAACAATCCCTTTTGAATGTGTTTCAAGGCTCAATGACTCAATCAACTGATTGGGGACAAAGGAATATATGCATTCAACTAGATACATGTTGCTTTATGTTGCTGATTAAATTCTCTGCTTCAATTAGTGTTGTGGTCCTCTTCTTTATAAAGATTATCAAAGGAGATCATAAAAATTATAGTAAGAATCTATCTAAATTAACTTAAAAGCCTCTTGTCACATGAGCCTAATGAACGCCAACCATTAATCAAATGCAAGGCCACCAAATCGTTGTTCAGAAAGGCATAATTAATGTGAAGGTTTAGCTTATATATATTATTATTATTATTATGAGATTATTAGTAGCTAATCCAGCATTGATGGTTAATTTCACCAGAAGTCTCTAAAATTTTTTCAAAAAGTACAATTTGATCCCGGGGTTTTTCCGTTGATCAATCTAGTCTTTGGGACCTTGGGTACCTGATTGGGACCTACAACAGGATTCAATCATACTTGATTTATTTGGTTGCGAAATGCTTGTGCACTTAATCAGGATTAGTTAAGTTACATTGCTTTGAGTCCCTAAACTTTTTTTGAGTTCGTTTACACAGCTTTTAGTGCACCTAACGTGTATAATGTGCTTGTTTATGCAACAACATAAACTTTCTTCAAAACGTTTATCCAAAAGCCAATTAAAGCTCAATTCACAACTCTTAGACATTAATTAAATAGAAGAGAAGATTAAAAGTTGAAAGACAGAATTATTGCAAAACTTCTGGGACTTCATTACTTTATTAATCATAAAGCTATTCATTCGGTTGTATGTCATCTTTCATACACTAAAAAGTCTAGTCTACTTTTACTTGTTAATCATGCAAATCCCAATATAATATGAAGAGCTCAGCTTCCATGATAAATTCCTACTTTTTTCTTGTGTCCCATTGTTGGCCCGTAAGCGCATGCTTGCTGATTACCCCCACACTGCGAGAGTTTTTGTTTGATAAATGTATGTCTCTGAGTGTTTGGTTTGGTTTGAAATTGGGAAGTTTTGAAGGCACTAGACAACTCTAGCTGGCAGTTGATCCCAACAATTATCCATTTTATTATCCTACAAAACGCGAATTTCTGGTTTCAAATTAAAGGAACAAAAAGAAGGGTCCTCATGCTTCTCTTCTACATTTTATCCTCTGAGTTTTGATGCCTCCGTAGTGGTTAGCATGTTTTGGCCATTTTTCAACAATCTTGGGGGCTCTTTCCAATCAAAATGACAATATCTGCCAACATAAGCAGTTATAACTCCCAATGGGTCCTCTTGCTTCCATCTCCAAGTATATAAAAGATAGCATAATAGACCAAAAAGACTAGGAGCTTCTATGAGCCTATCCAACTGTAATATCTCGTCACTTTTGTGCATTACAACTTTTGCAAATTTGGTGGACCTCTGGATGAGAGGACATAAAGAAGCTACACTCGTTTGCTAGGGGTTTACATCAGGCACGAATAAAATTCAAGAAATTGTTTAGTGGGGGGTGATACAACCTACCATAATGATGCACCAGTTTAATTATCCCCTAATTTCATATTGATTCAACAGCATAAAAGCACCATACTAGCCACTTTCTACAGTGTTCATGGACCACACATTGGTAACTCTTCACAAAACCAGAAATTGCTAGGAATGTGTGTTTTTCGGTTGTATATAAACATATTTCTGTAGATAATTACTTTGTGTTTACTTCTAGCTAAGTTAGTCCCTTGTGTTTCAATCACAGCACATTTGATCCCTGATCTTTGGATTTCATCCTATGTTTTACCTTACATTCCAATATTTTTTCAGTTGTGCATTTCCGATCTTCATTGGATCTGGTTTTGCTAGGTGATAGTATACGTTTACTTGATGCATTTTAATAAAAGTTCACTAATTATCTAAAAAGATTATGATATACTACATTGAATAATAAATCATTGAAACAGCTAATGGCATGCTATTATTATAAATTATTCAGACAAAAGGAAGAAAATGTGTCCAAGCTAAATATTATAAACTAAATGGGAACAATGTATAGGAAATAAAGGGACAAATGTTTCAAAGCTAAAACTTCAAGGACTAAACTGAAACTAGACCAAAGATGCATTTCTCCAATTTGCTATAAATTCATTGCTTGTCTGAATGTATGTATATATACCCGCATTTTGAGGGCTAGCCTTTTCATATTGTTAAGCAACAAAGCTGAGGACAAGATAGTGTGAATTATCTCTTAACCCAATGGATCCTTGTGAGCTTAAGCCAACAATATCTCAAGCACATCCCGAGACTATGGACTTCCTTTCTAGTGCTTGGTGCAACTTTGCTGTTCAAGCTTTCCAGCCTGAGCTACAAGACCAATCACTCATTCTCCACGATAGCTCGATCAAGAAACTCGATAATGATACAAAACCACCTTTTCTGGTAAGTTATTTTGGTCTACCATTACTATTTCTCGTGCTTTTCTCCAGCCTAATTTCATTTGATAGAGAAAGAATTAGAGAGGCATATTTGATCAAGGCACTTTGTTTTAGCAGAAACTGGACAAGAGCATGAAGATGGATGATACCGACAATTTTGTACCCCCATGGAAATCCAATGATGTAAAAGTACGACATACTTTTACCCTTTATCCTGAAAGAAGCAAGTACTATTATTATCATTCTTACCATGATTGGAATGCATTTTTTCACGGTCTTTTTTTTTTTAATGGGTGCATAGTCATGGATATGGATGCAACAAGCAATGCATCCAGAATTGAACTATAACAGCTATTTCAAGAAGAAATGGGTATGCACATCTCAAATTTTTTTTTAATTTTTTTGCATTCAAGAGCTTGTTGATTTTGTTAACTTTAGATCAATCAAAACGTGACATTTTCCATGCAGATGCCATGGAAAATTGGGCAACAATTTAAGAATGTGTCTATCAAGAAATGGCTCAAAGAAATTAAGCAGCGGAGCAAAGATGATAAGAGGCTGCAGAGAGCTGAAGTACATGCAGCAGTATCAGTGGCAGGTCTAGCTGCAGCTTTAGCTGCCATAGCTGCTGAAAATTCATCAAAACTTGATGATAATCCAATCAACGCCACCAAGGACACCGCCGTGGCATCGGCGGCTGCGCTGGTTGCTGCTCAGTGTGCCAAAATGGCAGAAGCAATGGGAGCAAAGAAAGAGCAACTCAGAAGTGTGATAGGCTCCGCCATGACTGGCACAAGTACCAGTGACATCCTAACACTTACCGCTGCTGCTACAACTTGTAAACACCTATCCTCTCTATTTAATAGTAGCATTTGAAAATTCTGTTCTTCCTTTTTTCTTTTAAGTTGAAACATTTTCAAGAATTCTTAAATTGTAGTACACCCACCACAACCCCTCATCCCCCCTCCAAAAACAATGTAGGTTAAATCAAATTCAACTCCCTTTGAGGTTTTTTACAAGTACAAGAAACTCCAATCTTTTGGAACTAATAACCATGATAGACAAATAGTCCCCGCGTAATCATGCTAGTGAAAAGTTTATTTGAGCATCTAGTATTACTCAACATAATAGATACTAAGAGGAAAAATTCTGTAAATCAAATATAAGGGAAAATAAATAAGAAAGACATGCATAAAAAACACCACATTGAAAGTTGGTGTTACCGTGAAAACTAAATTTGAGTTCTTTATAATTGGGATTAACCTTAGGAGAAGTCGATGTAATTTACCCAGATTCAGCTCTAGATTAATTATGTAAAGATTCCATTGATTACCAACTGATCATGTCGAAGATCCTTTGCAGACATATCAGTTCTTGTATCTAATATAGAACAATCCCACGAGATTGTATCATTTTGGGCATGTAATCAAAGGATGCATACTTCACATTTATCAGTGAAAATTTTATCTCATACCTTTTTTTTTTAATAAGTGAGAAGTGTTATGTTATTCACTATTCATCATTTATTGTTAGTATTGCTATTTTCTTGGATGTTTGTTGTAGCACTTAGAGGAGCTGCAACGCTTAAAGTCAGGGCAGGGTACAAGAACAAGCTGATTAACGGAGGTGCACCAGTGCTACCAATTGAGGATCTCAATTTTGACTTTGAAAATTGCAGATCAATTATAGCCAAAGGTGCCGAGCTTAATGTCGAGACCCCAGATGGTAAAAAAAAAAAAAAGTCCTCTATTTCTAACAATTATTCTTTTCCTTGATTTTGAACTAAACAATATGGGATTATATGGGATTCATAAAAGAACAATAAAGAAATATTACACGGTTACATTATTTTTTTATTTTTTATTTTTTGGCCTCATTGCTTGTTGAACTGGAGTTACACTCGTTTTCTTAATTTTCAAGTTATTGTCAATTTATATTAATCTTCGAAGTGCATCTAATTGGAGCAGGAAGGAATGTCTTGAGGTCAGTCTCAGTCATCCTCAATGGTGAATCCAAGGTAGGGAAAGAAAATTTGGGTTACTCAGAAATTCTTATCTTATCAAACTATCAGAATTTTCATTCATTTAAAAATAGAGATAGTATTTGTTTCTTAGAATAAATATCTCTAGACCATCAAGTTTTGGTTAACATAAAGCATTTCTGTGAAAAGTGGATCTAGAAGGACAATATGATAAGATATAACAGAAGTGGTATAGTTAAACAAAGCCATCAAAGATTAGCAAACGTAGTCCATCCTAGTGGCCCTAATCATACATTCATGTTCTCATACTTATTCTCAAACGTTATCAATATAAAGTACAAATTGCTAGTATGAAATAAGAAAGAAAGGCAATTCTAACAGTGCATCATTTTGTTTGGTTATAAAATGGGAAAAAAGGGGGGGATTGGGATAAGTACTAAAGTGCAACTTTTTGCTTTTAGCCTTTTTTTTCGCTTTACACTTAAGCATGCACTTGTTCACTATAAATTAGAAGAATTATAGGTGGATTTGTCTATATTTTAGCTTGTCTTTCATCTTGTTTGGATAATATATAGCTACTTTACAGCTGAAACTCGACTCCTGTTGTTTTCTTGTCTTCAATATATAGGTTATTCTCAGAATAAGGAAGCTTAATCTACTGAATGCCTTTGCAAGAACGCATGAAAGTAAGTTCCTGAACATCAAAAAAACCAATCATCTTAACGACCTATATGGCATAAGTTTTTGCAGAAATTAATGTTTACATAAACATGATCAACTGTCAAGGACTCACAACTCAATATCTGCTTTTACATGGTCCTCCTAGGCGTTGTGCTAGATCTGCATGTCGAATTGTACAAGGATTCAGAAGCTGGAGAAAATGATAATACTTGCTATCTCCTGGTATTAACGACAAACAAAGGAATGATCAAGCTAGACATGATGGATGACTATAAGGGATTCGAGACATGGTCAATTACTATTAATCAGATGCTGATGCTATCCACCTCATTCACAAAATATGAGCTGCAATTTTACAAACACTGAAGTTGGCATAAGTTTTGGTTTCTTATATCAGCATATTTCTACCTGAAACATGTTATGTAATTACCTCAGACAATATATATCGTACCTTGTCATGTTTTGTAATTACTGGCAATAGGGAACTTGGGAGTGATTTGGATCATCCAAAGTTTTTATTCTTGTCTTTGAATAATGTACTATTTGTGATCCATTGAACTGTATTCCTTACCTTCTGGTAAGTATGCCAATGTTCTTTTTCTTCTTGAATCCTGATCAACTTTGGCAAAATCCTTTTTTCCAATCATTCTCTAATCTTCTTAAGCTAATAAGAGAGGATGCTGGTAGCAGCAAGTATTAACTACTTCAGAGCATGCTTCAGAAAAAGACGCAGACCAGTGAGCCAGCCTCGCTCAGATGAAGCACCTGGTAGCATACATTAATGCATTAACCAAAAGAAAATTGAGTATAGGAAAGATAAGCCAGCACATATTTACGTCTCTGCATCTATGTATTCATGAAACAAAATGACATCCAAATTGAACTGCTGCAATGTCTCTGCTTAACAATTACTATAAGACTTCTATAGGAACATCCCTGAAGGATTATTATCTAAATAACAGCTACACGAAGTGCTAAACTCACTTCATCTTTAAACTGCCATCATGAGATTTAGCTACATGTCTTCGCCTCTTCTAATCATCTTCGCCTTTCTTAACTCCATATACCCCCAACAAAAGGATTTTCTTCTGCAGTCAGCCAACTTTGCACATCAAGAAAGTTGGTAAAAGATGTCACACCTCACATAGTAGTTGGACGGCAAAGTTTTGCTAAGCAACTTAACTAGTCCTATAATATATCTTGTCAAGAATTCAAGTTTCTATTATTAAGTTAAGAAGGAAAAACCTGCAACAAAGAAACTTACAGCCAAAAGCTCCAGCTTGTATCATTATTAGTTTAAGCATCCTAGAAGCTATACCATGTAAAGAAAACCATGATTAACCCGAAGCCCATCCCAATAACATTACATGCTACTTGAGGGATGAAAACCCAATCCCATCATCCTGAACTTGCAAAACTGCTACAGAATACAACTTTGGTCAGTTAAACAATTATCAATGAGCAACCGGAAACTACACAAATATGTGTAATCAAATTTTCTCGGTTATGCTTCACTCTTACTGTACCCTGTTTTACTTCTTTTATCTTTCTAGAAACAGATCAATACTAAAAATAGGCTGGAAATACCATAACCAGTGGTCCAGACCAAATTTTCACGGGCGGTATCCGACTCTCCCAGGGTTTTCAGTTTGGAACTTGGTAAGAGGCAAAAACTCAGGGTTCAGAACATAATAAGCTGATATCTAAATCCATGAAGATCTGTAGTACATAATCAAAACAAAAGACATAAATATCATGTTTTTCCTCTGATACCCTACTTGAAGAAATGAAAATTGTTAAAAAAAAAATCTCCTAAATTCTCCAACAGCTGAACACTAGGAGTTCTTCGTCCCAAAAAGAAGAATACAAGCACAAAATAAAAGTAAATACAATGTTGGCGTCACGCAATAAGGTTGAGGTGCAACATCCTACAAATTTAGTGGGGTACAAAATCTACAAAATCAGTGGCCTCTAAAAGCATATAAAACAACGGATGCCTGAAGATCCCTATCGACCTTGAAGTGAGCGTGGAAGAACCTTTTTATCTGCAAACAAAATATTAAGGTGAGCCAAGAAAGCTAAATGCATCATAAAAGAAAAATCACAAGCTTAAACTCGTCGCACGAGGATATGAAAAGGCAAAAATCCTGACCTCATGAAATTGATGTGAAGCTAGAAACTCCTTTAATAGCTTTTCCTGTGAATCGAATAGGATGATGTGACTTGGTATGGACCAATTCTTTGCAAATTCTGAAGTGAAACCAACTGGATCCATCATGAATTTGTCAGACTCGTCAAGATATCCTTTTTCCTCACTGTTAAAAAGAATTCAGAAGTAAGATAATGGACTTATGTTCAGAGTAAATTAAGCCTATACAAAGAAAATCAAGGAGTTTTCAGTAGTATTAGCCATGCATCACATAGTACCTTGGCGTGCAATCCAAGAAACGCATGGGAATGTCATGGTGTAGGGTTGAGTAGTATGGTGTCGCATGGCAGGGTGTCAGGAAAAGGACACTTGTGATTTCTCCATTGACAGCCTCTCTCGAAAGATAGTACATCACATCCTCAGATCCTCGCTATGATACATGATTGAAAGTAAGATAATAGCAAGAAAGTACTCTTCCTGCACAATATACTATGAATATATTCTTATTTGAAAAATAGCAACAGTCAAAAAAAGGAGTATAACCCTTTTTCTTTCCTCATATAATAAGTGCTGAACTGAGCAAGTACTGAGTAAGTAATGAATGTACCTGATGAACCATGCTCATATAAAGTGCCATTGGAAGATTGGTACCAAGAAGGAAAAGTACAGCTAGTTTTGTCTTTATAGAAGATCTTGTAGCAGCACTTTGGGAAGCTTTATTTTGGCCATATGACACATTAGTCTTGCCCAATTTGGCCAATGCCACAGCAGAGAACATCAAAGCTATTGGAAGCACAGGGAGTACAAACCTATGATTCAAACAGGTTAAAAAATGAAAATGCTTTTTGACTGAGCAACAAAAACATAGTAACCAAAATATGAATTCGTTTACCTGAATTCTTTGTGACCTAGTATACTGTAAATCCCTACTACCCAGGCAATAAGCCCAGACAGCTTCCATTCCTTAGAGATGACAATGCCAGCTACCACAAATGGTAGGAACGTGAAAACCATGACTGTGAAACCCTGAGTGAAGTACCAGTGCCATGGATGAGTTCCATAATAGTCTCCACCGGAAGAAAGAATATTGAACTTAAGAAAATTAAGAGGCACAAAAACCCACGAGCCGTACATCATACGATCCAACAGAAAGGTGAGTCCAAGCACCAACCCCCTGATCCCAGGTATTATTAAGTAAGCACAGATGAAACAAAAGAAGTATTCTTGCATACTTTTGGGAAACATATATGTTAGAAACTAAAATAATAGAAATGAACAAACAACATATACTGGATATTTCCAAAAGGCAGCTGCATGGACTTTCCTCATTTAGCTACAGAAATATGTAGAACTCTGAAAAGTCCAGCTAATACAGTAGGATGTCAGCTAATACAGTAGGATGTCAAGCATGTCCCTCGTAGTCATCATCATGCATGCTTATATAATGTCATTTTATACGCTTTCTACTTCTAACACTAGAGCAAACGGTGCACACTTTGATATGAACCACAACTATACCATTTATTAGACTCTCTTTCCCTCAAAATGTATTCATCAAGTGAACATAGTCACCAGCTCACAATTAGTCAATTACGGGGCCTCAATTTGCTCCTGAATGTGGAAAATAGTGAGTTGAAATATCAACCGTATCTCTAATAGTTGAACTCCTGGTTACCATTCGGAAGAGATGAACTATGCACAGACTCCAACCAGTCACAGAGAGTATACATACACACAGAGCTACACGAGCTTGTGTAGAAATTTTACAGCCAAAACCTATTATAGAAATTATCAATGCATTTGTTAACATGTGTAATGCCTTCCAAGTAATGGCACATAGGTCTTTTACAAATAAACAGAGGAAAATTTTCTTCAAGTGTCTCAGTGATGCCAAGGCAATATTTCCCAAAGAATGCCAATGAGAAGAAATATTAACATGCAAGATCGCACACAGCCTCTAAAATTCCTGACTATAACAACATATTTATGAAATAACCATACGTTGGTGGAACATTACAAAACATGTCATAATTTGCAAGGATCAAAAGAAAAATCTACTTGCAGTATTTTCTGTCAAAGATAAAGCACTTTTGCAATTTCTAAACCAACCCTCATAGTTTGGCAAGCTCTGGTAGAATTTGGTCCAGGATTTAGCTATGCTCTAACCAGCTTGGTTCTACTCTTAAGCAACAATTAGTCCATCTGACCAGCGACAATAGAAGTGATCTTCCCAGGAGACTTTCTACCTAATCACTAGGTTGGCAACTTTAGGACACAATAGGTTCTACACCTAGCACGAAAAGGAAAAAAAATTCCATGTACACATTATCCTGTCTACTTAATTTAATTTGTCTATAGATTTAATAACGATTACCAAAACAAGCAGCATGGATAGTATTGGAAAAATTCCATCAAAGAAAGGTTGCAAAATACGTACCCAATAGGAATCACCTCCACAAAAATGAATTTTACTCTATGGAGTGTCGAGAACAGCTCTAGAAGGCCAACATAAATCCATATAATAGCACTTGTAGGGCGAATAGCACATGCTAATGCAGCTAGAGCCAGCCCCCAGCTTCTTGGTGCCAAGGGATCTTCGCCGGAAGAAGTGCGTATGCAGGGCCAGTAATAAAGGCTCACCAGTGTAAGAACGGTCTCCAAAGTATTAGATAGCGTGCGTGTGATGCAGAAAAATATGAACCAATTTGCCAACTGTGCAAAGAGCTGCTGTAGAATTAAGTACCACATAGCCAACATTTGAACTGATTATGATCCTTTGGGGGTGCTCTCTACAATTAGGGGTCGGTAGGTGGGCAACAGTGCATAGCAACTTAAGAAATCAATTTTTTTCTTTTTAAAATGCTCACAAAGCAGAGAACAAAAAACAAATACAGAAAGAATTCTGAAGTCCATACAGAAGGATACAGCCCATCTTGCAACATGTTCACCAAACAAAATCTTGGAGAGCTTGTACAAGTAAAGGTCACCAACGGCAGAAAATATAGACTGTAATAATCGAGGAGCCTTCATCTGTTGAATGTGGACTTCATTAGTGACAACAGAAAGGGAAGGAACACAACTATTCTCCTAATTTTTCAGTCATCAACAAATTATAAGCACATACCGTTGACATCAAGTGCCAAGATTTTTATCAGAGTCAGCTCAATTATTGATTCTGTAGCCAAATTAACATGAGCCAACACAAGTTTGGGACCATAGCAGCAAAACGGTTTCTATAAGTACAACATTTCTTTTGAGAGGGGCAAGGGATGGCTGAAGATATGAGGATAGTTAAGGCGACTAGAGGTAGGATGTGAGATAGGAATCAATCAACCAAAAAGCCTAACAGCCAAACTGCAAGCACTCACTAACAGGTTGATCATTGCAGAAACCAAATCCACCAAGAGAGAATCAAACATTATTGGACAGGCAAGGTCATTTTGAGACTGATCTTGAACTTCGATG